CTGAGGAGGCCCCAGGACCAGTGCAGTGTGCAGGAGTTAGGAATTAGATGGGCCCGCTGGCAGGCTGGCTGGTCAACCCCTAACTAGCAGGATGAGTGCCCAGGAGAGGCCTTCCTGTCTAGCAGGAGCGCTCAGGCAGCTGGTAGCTAAGGGAAGGGACATGGGGCACCCACAGGAGCGCAGATCACTAGAGCACCACACCCAGCGCTTGGCCCCTAGCCTGCTCAGAAGCTGGAGAGAGTCTGGAAAAGGTGTGGGGGGGGGGGAGCATGCCTGACCTCTGGCTACACGAAAGGGAGGGAGACTCCGGTTCCACATATGCCCTAGGATGGCTGCCATGTGGCAGCGGCCAGACATGCCCGACCCTCCAGCCTGCTGGACTCTCCGGACACCAGCCATCCCTGCCAGGGCCCGCGCGGTCCCATTGCAGTGACCACACAGCTCTCACACGTGACACGCTCGTGGGCCCTACTCGGGAGGCCCGGAGGCTGCGCGTGGAGATCAGGCATGCTCAGGACCGCTTCTTTTGTCCACGGTCCCTCTTCTCAGTCTCTCCGCCTTAGCCCTGGGACCCTGGGCCTGGGCCCTGCCTGGGCACGTGTTACAGAGGTGCCTTAGCACGGACACCTGCCCACAGCGCACTCCCACTCTGCGGCCCAGCCTCCAGCCCAAAGGCACCCTTCGCTTCACCCAGATGTCGGGAACCTGCTGCTGCCGCCTCTCTCCTTTCCTCGAGGGTCTCTGTCTTTATGCCCCGAGACCACCTTTCTGCCCCACACACCCTGTCTGCATGCGCCCTCCCTTCCCTTTGCTGGGAGTTAGGGACATAGAGCTGTCCCTGCAGAGAAGGCCCTGGCCTCCTGACCCTCACACAGATGCACGCCCGCTCCGCTCCCTTGAGTCTGGGGCACACAGGCTGGCCTGGCTGCTGTATTGACAGCAAACCTGATTTCTCTCTTTAAAGTCATACTGCTCCCAAGAGTCTCCTGTATCCCTGCTTCCACCTCCCACCCCCATGCCCTTCCGGTGTCTCCCCACCCGCCAGATGTGCCCCTGCCGAGACCCCAGGAGCTGGGCATGCAGCCACGGGTCGGAGTTCTGTGATGCCCACTCCTGAATGCCACCAGCCCGTGCCCCTGACCGCTCCACCGCCTCCTTCACTGCACCCTTCTCATCCCCCCGCCGCCGCCACAGGGTCCCCTGGCCACCGACGGCCCCAGGGCAGACAGCCGCCCCCTGCTGCAGCTGCTGAGGCAAACACTATGGTCATCCCACCTCCTCTGCCAGCCCAGCATCCAAACCACCAGCCCTGCCCGTAGGGTCCACCTGCAGGACAGACAGCCTCTCCCCAGCACAACTGCCCTGCTCCCTTCCTCTGGACCTCAGGAGCCGCCTCCGCACTCCCGCCTTCAGGTAGTCCCCATCCAAGGTCGCAGAGGAGAACCGCGTCTGCCTGCCAGGTTCCAGGGCCTGGTTGGGCTGGCCATTTGGGCTGGCCTCCCCCCTCAGACAAGCAGGCACTGAGGCCCTGCCTGCCACAGGGCCTGGCATCAGCTCCCTGCTGCTCCCCTCCTGGCGGCTCCTGCCTCCAGAGCCAAGAGGCTGGTTCTCTTCCCAGAAAGGGCTTCCCTGTCCACCCTGTCTAAAGCCACACCTCCCTCCTCTCGCCAGTCTTCCTGGTCTTGTTCTCCCTTCTCCTGGGCGCTTAATTACTCACGGCCCCTCCCCCACTGGAAGGTGAGCCCGCCCACAGCACACGCGCTGGCGTGTTCTTCCCCCTGGCTAGAGCCTCAGCACCAGCCCTGGTGGTGCAGTGGTTACACGTCAGGCTGCAATCTTCACGGTGGTCAGCAGTTCAAAACCACCAGCAGCCTCAAGGAAGAAAGACGGCTTTCTACTCCCGTCAACAGTGACAGTCTCAGAAACCCCCCCAAGGGGTCGCCGTGACCCATCAGTGCGTGAGGCTTGGCCATATCCTTAGTGGGGCCCTGGTGACGCCGTGGGTTAAGGTGTGGCCTGAAAGGTCAGTGGTTCAAACCCACCAGCTTTCATGGAGGGAGAAAGACGAGGCTGTTGGCATTAAAGACTGTCCCAGCGCACGGACGCACCAACACACGCACTGGCATGCGTCTCACCGTGCACCTTCTCAGCGGCTGCAAAACATAAAACTTAAAGGAGCGAAAACCCCACACGCGCGGACGTCGCTTGGATTCCAGCCGGAGGCAAAAGCCCTGTGTGGTGGGGCGCACGGCTTGGGGGTCTTCTGGGTTGTCGTCTGGTCTGTTATGGGAGGGTTTGTCGGGCTCCCTCCAGTGTGGAGTCCTGGTGGGTTCAAACCACCCATCTCTGAGTTCAGTCGGAGGTCAGCCATTTGCACTCCCCAAGGACCTGACCTGTGACAGGCGAGTGCGGGGGTGCATACGCGGGTGACTGAATATGAGGAGCCCTTGTGTTTGTGGAATAGCCGGTGCTCCCGCCACCTGCTCTCTCAGATGCCTGGGGTGACAAGGTGGACGGACCACCACAGAGGCAATGGCAGCTGCACTGGTCTGGGGTCCAGGGCTCCAGGCACGCGGGGAGGGCATGTGGATGGGAGGGATGGGCTCCGGCCCCAAGCTGGCCGTGCCCAGGGGCAGGCGCAGCCCCGGACAGACAGGAGCAGAGCTGCCCACAGGCTGACGGGAGCTTTGTGGAGTTTAGGAGGTGGCCTTGGGGGACAGAAGCTGGGCACCAATGCCAGGCTGGGAGGGCTTGGGGTTGGTGGTTGGCAGGGATGTGTGTTTGCTTTTCATTCGTCTCAGTAAACTAGTTTGGTGTTTCTGTTTTGTTTTAAACTGGTTTGGTGTTTGAAGAGTTTCGGTTTACAGAAAAGTGGCGAAGGCAGTCTAGAGGGTTCTCAGGGATCCCCGGCCCCTTGTTAGCTTGTTACCGTCCTGTGGTTGCTTTGTGACAACTGGCAGCCGCGAAGAGATACATTCTTCGTCACAGAAGGCCATCCTGCACTCCCCTATCTTCCCACGGTCTCTGTTCCGGCCCCTCGCTGCGATCACACTGCCTCTTTGTTACATTCAAGAAGAGTAGTGGGCTTGCCCGCCCGGAGTCGATTCGGGCTCCGGTAGCTGCAGCCATGCAGGGAAAGGCTCGATAAGCGGTTTGTTTTCCAAGTACGATTTGACTGTGTTTTCGGTGAAGGTCCACACAGCAGTTGTCCCCAGGTCGTTTCAAAAGGAACACCGTGCTTCTGGGTGATACGCGTTGCTTTTTGTTTGTTTGTGGCTACATTTTTCCTGGTCGTCTGCGTTCATGCAAAGTTAACGCTATCAAGCTGCGGTCCTCTCACGGCTGGACTCCTGAAAGCCTGCCACAAAGAACGGAGCCGGTCTCCCTGGGTTCCCACAGAGCACGGCCTCCTTCCATGGTGGGACGGAGGAAGGCAGCGCCCTCGGCCACTTGGCTTCCACGTGCCCCGTTCTCCACGTGGTGTCCTGTTGAGGCCCTTCTGAGAACCTCAGGACAGGGCAGAACTGCCCCGTTAGGGTGCCTGGGCCACCAGTCAGTCAGCCTTTTTGCTTTTCTACATTTTATTTGGTAGTTGTTGAGAACGCACCCCGCAGAAAACACACCGGTTCAACATCTTCTACCTGTACCAGCTGGAAGCTTTGATGGGTGGCATCCCTGGGTTGTACAACCAGCTCTGCCCTCCTTTCCTGCCCTGCTCCTGCCCCATTAACGTAAACTCAGTGCCCCTAAGGTGCCGGTCTCGTCCTTGGAGTTGGCCTTGTCCACTCATCCCTGTAACACAGTCTTCAGGAAGCAAAATGCTGCAGGCAGACCTTTTTTACACTGAAACCACCCCCATTAAGGTCAGGGGCATCAGGAGCGGTTTGCAGTCTAAGGTGTGTGTACACGTTAGTGCCCGGGTCTCATGTCCCCAACGTGGGTCTGGAAAGTCTCGAGCCCACAGAGATTTGGGGTCGTGTTCTGCCTTCCCCCGCTTCTGATCAGGATCCAGCGATGTCACCCTTGCTCACATGTTCAGGAAGGGTCGCAGGCCCCAACCACCCAGTGCTCCTGGCCTCCTGCAGGCCCTCACGCCGCGGTCCATTTCCTCCCGCCCCTGGCTCTGCCCCGCGCCTTGGGGGCTCCAAGTGAAGGGAGACCACCTGCGGGGCCTCGGGTGGCCAGTTGCAAAGTTTGCAGACCTCAGATGCTGCACGATTAGGAGGTAGAACACAAACACTCGCCGGGTTATCAGGCCGGGGAACTGGCTTGTCCAGGCAAAGCCTGCGCCTAAACCAAGGAACTAGACCCGGTGAGGTGGTGCTGCTCCATAAGCGGCCTCACCAGCGACTTTTCGTCTGGCTGTCACTGGAACAGCACCTGTCACACACCTTGTGCCCGTTCAGCTGGTTAGCGCTTGGTTAGACCTTGCCTTGCCTTTC